TATCATCGGGGGGTCAGGGCCATTCCAGTCACAGTAAGAGCTGTAATACAATCACAGCAGCACAGGGTGGTCTAGTTTATATTTCAGTTTAAATGCACTTTCTCTTCATGTGACGTTAATTTAGTCGCAGCAACTCAATGGAGCTTTTTTGATGCACAATAATTGCGGAGCACATTTTACAAGAAGTCAATTTGAGATTTGCATGAAGAATGGCAGCATGTCATGGTGGAAGGGTTCTGCAATGAAGAGACAAGCGATTGAAATTGAGATACTTGCGAGCGGTCGCGGTTTTGGCTCAGAAGTCACTTATGCGATAGGAATAAAATATAAATGGGAAAATAATGGAGGTTTATTCCGACAGTGTCATTGAAAATTTTTGCTTTGCGGTCGCAGCCCCAAAAGTTACTTGTGGAAGTTGGAACAGTAAATGAAAGTGATTGTTCTCTATAAAAGGTTTAAGGTCTAACAGGTTTTCATCTGTTCTTTTTAACGACACAGAGCAGCAACATCTCGGTGGCAGATAAATGCCTTTTACAGCGGATGATAAATGCCGTGATTCTGAATTGATATTGGACATTCATTAAGTCAAAATGACCTTAATTGCATTTGCACAGTGCTGGGTGACTAATGGCTTGACACTCGTAAAGTACTCCCTAATTTTGGGGTTTTAGTGCCTGCCAATCTAAACAGTCCATTTGGATAAAACATTATTTTAAATATAAGTGGATTTATTCTTAATATGTGAGGAAAGCTGACCTGCAGACTACTGTCATTCTTTCATTGTGTGATGAGTCTGCAGCTGGAAGGTATGCAGTGTGTGTAATGTCAACCGTGCATGCAGGTTTGTAACCCTGATGAACCTTGAGTTAAGCATAGTGCTTTTTTTTGAGTTATGTTGACTCATTTGCTGGAAGTCTATGAGCTCAGCAGCAGCTCCAAAAGTAAAGAAATGCATCGTTAAATATGAATACAAAGCAAATTTAGCTAAAAAAAAACAATATTTGATCAACTTCTCATTTACATATGTCAATCAAAGCCGACATGGTGGACATGTTATTCCTAATGATGATAGAACTGACTCTCTCCCTCAGCAATGTCCTCCTGGATGAGGAAACACATAATGACCGAGCGGATTCTGAGTATGCTTTGGGATGTGACGACTGACAGGACCAAAGCCGACCGGGTCTGTTCTAGTCTGGCTCAGTTGATGATGACAGTCTGCAGATAAAACATGTTTATTTTATTTTAAACATAAAAGTAGAAGAGGAATGGCCATAGTTGCAGCACATTTTCACTACCAACTGGCCAAATACTGACATTTGATCAGTGACCCTACTCTTCAAACTATGACGCTCTCGGTTCCCCTCTAACATCAGCTTTGGACGTGTCAGCGACAATTTCTGCTAATTACATGCATATTGTCTTTTGAAAATAAACTCCCAACGTAGGTTTACTTTGTTTTTAAGTCTACTAGGTTAGGTTTAGGAAAAGATCCTGGTTTGGGTTAAAATAAGTACGTAACGTAACAAAAGTATGGTAAAATAAGTCAACATTGACTTGGTTTCACACAAACCGCTGTCTCCTGCTCTTCCCACTTGCTCTCTGTTTAGACACAACTGACAAATGTGTGCAAGAAGTATGTGATTTAAAAACCACAGTCACAATCAATAGTGACACTAGGTTAATTCTATGAAACATAGTGGTTCGATTTTGAAATCTGAGAATGGAAACAGGAGAACAGCAGGAAGAGACGGGAGGAAAGTTAAAAGCGTGGGATGCATATTTGATCATTTATCTGAATTGTTAATATAATATATCATTCATATAGTTCACGGTAGATCATCAGTGTGCAAAACTATTGCTGGAGGTTGTAAGCAGGCGTCCTGTGTGAACAGCCCAATTGGTTTACATGGGCGCCAAAAGGAAGCGGGCTGTGCTTCTCTAACAATTGCAAGCGTCGGTATTTGACGAGTGGCCAATTCCCTCTAGGCTATGCAGTCTGCCTTCACCATCTACATCCATATTGTTTTGCCTTTCCAATGCAAATCTCACACTGCATATGAACAGGCAAAGCGGCTGGTTGCTGTTGCGATTGTTCTGCTACAACAACCAGAACTCCAGTAGTTACTGACCAGACGTTCCGTGTGTTGTCTTGTGTATTTAGTCGCAGAGGTTTATGCTCCATCCTGATTGTCAAATACTAAAAAAAAGGAAAGTTGGAACATTCTTCACGTATGATTCATCCAGTCTCTGTAAGTTCCAAAACTCTTCAGCTTGGTCCCGAGCTAGTGTTTAACCGTTGCTATGAAAGACAACAATACCGCTCCTACAACAGCTGTGAATGGCAACAATAGAATGGTTTCATTTAGGCTAAAATCTAAAATCGATATATATTACTAGAATCACTTAACTACCCTCAGGAAAATATTTTTTCATTAAATGATAAAAAGGTCAACTCTTACTAGTCTGAGACAGGATATGTGTCGGAAGCGACTGATAGTGAAGGCACATTTTATTTACCCATCCATCATGCAGACTCTCATACTGTAGCACCAACATATGGATGGAGACACAGTTAGCAGTTGTTAGCCCAGTTTCCAACATGGCCGTTGATTTGCCGTAGAACCTGAAGAATAATTAATTAAAAGGACAAGTTTCGTATTTTGCAACAGTCTGGTGCTGGTTGCACCATGACATTGTGCAGTATCACCCCAGTTACAAACTGCAGATGGAACAGATACCTTTTGCCTTCAGACGGCTGTGGAAACTCACCAGAGTGAAGGAAAGACCTTCAGTACATGACTAAAGGACTTTTATGATTATGATTTTAGGGAGGTTTAAATGGGTGTGCATTCACCAAATAAAAGTGACTGAACTAATATGGAACAAAAGTGAGTTGTCGTCCTGCTCTGAGCAGGAGACGCATGCATCTTGTCACCAAGATTGCAGAGTGACACTTGATGTATATCTACATCCTCTACTGCACCTCTCATTCTACCAGGGGTGCATGGCGAGAAATAAAACCTCAATGCGCTGCAGCAAAATCACAGTTCACTGGTGGCGCCCAGAAGAGAGCCCAAAGAGTCGGTACGTGACACCCAACGCAATAGCTACTCGACCTTAGGCCATGCTAATTAAGCACCAATATCAACGGGTTTAGTTTTGCAGTCAAGAACAGGACCTACATGTACATACTGTACACTGACACTAAGAAGGGATGAGGGCAGAAGATTGCAATATGTGCACAAATAACGTCATGGAGAAACACAAAAAGGATCCGACTACTTTGGATTATAACACTTCAAGATTGCCGCTCCTTCTTAGTTAGCATTAAAAGGGTTCGCAGTGATAAAGAGACTGAAGAAAGCAATGTGACAAGAACACTGTGGAGGAGGAGGATGTTCCCAGACTTCACTATCAGTAGTAACAGAATGTATTACAGTTGGTCAGAACAGAATATTGCAATAATCAGTGGAGCAATGAAAACATGTTGCTTTGTGTTACTGCTTTGACTGAAGTCAGTAAAGGATTTTAATTATACATCACATTCAATTAAACACTGGACACCGAAGAATAATAGAGTTCAGCTGTGTTGTGATGATAGGCTGTTACAATAGTCCCAGAGGATTTTACATGAAGACATGTTTGAGAGGCAACAAACCCGTTCCCCATCACCTCCTCCTTCCTTGGGCCCACGTTTTCCTGAACGCAGCAGCCACTATGTGTAGGCCAGAGAGCATCTGTCCTCTCAAACTTAATCCTCCTCAGGTGACATATATAGACTGCACACCCAGCCCATATAACCGCTGTGAAGTTTGTAAAAGAGGAGGCTGAAATTGATGACTTGAAACAGTCCAGCGCCAAGACTCGAGGACAATTAATCCTGCCTCACCGTTAAAGATGTCTCCTCGATACAATGGAGGGTGCCGGGTCCATCTGTGGAGTCAAGACATAAGAGTCATGCATACATACAGACAGAGAAAGCTATGGCTCCTAATTCTGCTCATTAATCACCTCTCTGCCAAAAACATCCTCCAGAGAAAAGAGCCCGGTTCCTCCGAGGTAATTACAGCACTTGAAGGAACGCTCTCTGCTGCGAACGCTCATAAGTAGCCATCTTATCTCTCTCTCTTACTCTGCCTGGTTTTTCCGTCTCGACCATGGAGCTTCCTGTATCCTCTGGAGAAACCTCCTCCTCCTCCTCCTCCTCCTCCTCTTCCTCTCAAGTCTTTTCTGCTGCACCGCTCTTGCTCCTCTTCAGCTCTTTTTTTTTTTTCCGGGCACACATCCATTTGGCATCCGATGTGAGATAAATAAATTATAACCTCTAAAATCAATGGCCAGTCCATGATGTAGGCTGGAGGCTTAGTGCTTGCCACCGTGCTAGAATGATGCCGCCGGGCCTCAAACGGGGGCATTTCTTGAGCCCCAGAGCTACGCTGTTCAGTACTTTGATTTTCTTTCTTTTTCCCGAGATGCTATTCCATTCCTTCTGACATTTTATTATTTGTCATCAGTTTTCTGATGGAGTTTTTGATGCATCATCTGTCTCAGGAAGCTGTTAGTTTGTCACACAGTGTCCTGGTCTGGACTGCTTCTCCCCGTGATTCACTGCAGTGTCTGGAAACTGTCTAATTTCTCCACAGAGCCACTCAAAGAATCTAAAAATAAATCAAAAACAGTGGCTAGAGCAACATCTTTGTGCATTTATTTTTAAAGGCAGAACAGTAGCAATGCAATCCCTCAGTCTGTAAACTGCATGTTGATGTAGGAATGGAAGATTTATAACCGTCAGCGGATAGCTGATGCCTTTTTTTTTGAAGTTGTCATAGTAATCTTGTAGCTGATTCAAAGGAGTCTGACAAGAGACTTGCATAACATACATACTAGAATGTGTCCTCGGTGCGGCTCTCTGAGAGCGACACTGCAGCAGACTCTACAGCAGGCTGCCATCCCTCTGCTAATGTTTCTCTCTTTCTTCTTCTGCTTTCTCTTTCCAGATGGAGATGATACCAGATCCTGATCCCTATGACGAGGGCACAAAAATAAGTGTAAGTTCAGAGTTACCCCATGTGTCCCTGGTTGCAACCTAGTGCTTCTCAGTTGTGGGAAGTCATGACGCAAGTTGGATGGCGTTTCATTCCGAGCAAACACAACAGCAGTTGATTTTCCCCGAATAATACACCTTCAACCAGAGAAAGGAGCTAATCAGTGAAATCAGTGGCAGTGTATTATTACTGTCAGAGCGGTTCCCTTCCTGCGCTCGTGCCCCACCACCCGCTCTGCCTCTTTTTTCCCGTCACTCTGTATGCGCATTCTGTGCCCAGAGCAACCCACACTTCCTGCCACTGACCTCGCTGGAAGCCTTAGAAAGTCAGAGTCAATGTAAAAGGTCAGGGAAGGGATCAAGATATAGATGTTGTTTAATGTATTTCACATCATTCATTTTATGAATTTATCAACTGTTGTTTTTGTCATAAATACTTTCACTCAGAGCGCAAATATTATGCTGAAAAGCGACGTCATTTTCGCCCCGAGAATAAAAACATCAACTAATTATGGTGTGCGGAACTGATTGAGCGGAGCCTATATTCATGAAACAACAACATGGAGGCTCCGTTTTTTCCAACCAAGATGGCAAACTTTATTCCTACTTTTAACCTCGACAAAGACAGCTCACACCAGACCCACTCCTTCCATTCTTAAATTTCACAATAAAAGCCCTTGACATAATATTCTCAGGCGAGTATTTCACAATTTTGTGTAGTCTCTTTCTTAATCTGTCGAGCCAGCAGTGTGTAAAGGCTTTTCAATTTAAATGACAGTTTATTACAAATTAGGTTGATTTCTATGAGTTTCGATAACATTGTAAAATAATGGCATAGATCTAGAAACATGTTTTTCTTGTCTAAATTATTTTAACTGTGAAGCTGCATTCCTAGACATCAAGTTGGTGCATGTTGGTGCATTTTTTATTAAAAATCAAACTGTCAAAGTCAAATAGTTCATACTGACCTATCTGTGCTTGGGTAAATCGAAAACAGTGACTTGAAGCATAAAACTTGGACGTGTTCAGCATTTCAGGTATTGAAAGAAAAACATAAGCTTTCCCAAACCCTACTTTTTGTTGTTGTCTAAACGTAACCACAGGCAGGACCCTGGATTTAAACCCGTCTCCAGTGCCAGACTGCTGTTGTTAGCCAGCTGTTTACCCCAATCGCCTTTCTGTGCAACCCCTTCTCCTACGAAACGACTTTCCCCTACAACTAAACTGCATTCAAAATTACATTTCAAGGGAAAAATATTTTCTCGGGTGTCGTATTAATCACATAATTAACAATAAAATTAAATACATTTTTGGTTTCACACAGGACACAATAACAGTTCACAGAAAATCACTATAAACAATAATCGCAAAATGTTGTGTTGAGATGTGCAATTGAAATAAAATCCACTATCACAGTACATGTACATAGTTGGGTTTAGACCATTTCACAGTTGTAAACGCTAACATTCTGAATTCGTCCCAGTTTATTTCCTGTTGTAGTGTTTTTGGGGGGTTTTCAGCTGAAAGGAAGTTAACATGGACCCAAGCTGTTGCCTAGCAATGCAACAGCTTGAAATATATATGTTACATTATAGAGTGAATTTTCTGGAGTCCTCTAAAATAGCTAAATGGTAATGTGTGGTTTTGGCAGACATTAAGGTACTTAATCACAGAGATGTAGCAATCTTGCTACATCTCTGATTGATTTGGAATGTTGCCTGCAATTGCAAAGTAGTAAGTTGGTTTGAATACATTTGGTGAAAACCTTTGGTTCCATTATTTCAGCACTGCTCCATTTCATTAAATATTTATGACTAAAAAAGCAATTATCAAAGTTAAATTTCATCAAATAGCTTCCATAGGTGTTGAATTAGATGTTGAGCAGTCAAAAACGCATACGCATTTAACCCCCGATCACTAAATCTGGATCTGTGAGCGAGTCTGAATGTGTGTGTTTATTATTAAGAGATGGAGAAGTGATCCATGGTGACCTGTGCAGCTCTGAGAGCAGCGCAGAAAACTCACTTGCCCGAGCATGTAAATCAGGACAGCTCAAGTGGTCAAGCTGACATATGTCAAAAGATTATGTTTTTGATGTATCGCAATTACGTGTCTAATCATAGGAGGAGGGCGGGTGGGTGGGCGGGTCAAACAAACAGGACTTTCATCCGGAGAACTGTTATTGTGTCCTGTGTGAAACCAAAAATGTATTTCATTCATTGTTAATTATGTGATTAATACGGCACCCGAGAAAATATTTTTCCCTTGAAAGGTAATTTTGAATGCAGTTTAGATCAAGCCAGTAAGCAAAACATGTTGGCTCCAGTCCCACCGGCTATAAAAAAAGGTGGCTTGGAGCCCTCAAGGTCCACAATAAGATGGAAGGAAAACCTGTATACGCTAATGGGACACAGATAAAACCCCACAATTTAAACGCTGACCTGTGCACCTGGCAATATGTTTTAACCTGTATTTATCATTGCCACTTTTGTTTATATGCACAAGATAAACTTAGTATTAATGGTTTAACCTCCAAATGTCACAGTATAACCATCATGTAGCATGTTGTAGAATAAAGTGGCATGACGTGTCATGATACCTTGCAGTGTTCCATCACTGTTATGACTCTGTGGTCTCTTCTAATCACTCTAACAGACAGTGAAAGTCCAGGGCAACGACATCTCACACAAGCTACAGATCTCCAGAGTCGTTAAAAGTGACGAAGGACTCTACGAGTGCCGGGTGACACGAGCTAACTACGGAGAGATTTTGGAGTACAAAGTCCAAGCCTGGCTGAAGGTCAACGCCACGGCCAGACCACGACGGCCACTGGTGCCTCCCAAGAAAAGCTCCCCGCTGCACCTGACGGACAAGAAGCCGAGAAAGTCCAGCTCACCTCTGGGCCAGGACAGCATGAGCTCAGACCAGAGGGTGGCCTCCACCTCCACCTCTCACACGTCCTCCAACACAGCTGAACACAACACCGGCTCAGGTAAGGCCGTTTGGGGAGGGTTGTGGGAGGGCGCAGTGAAACACAAAAACATCTTTTTAAGTTTTTAACTACCAGCATATAGTCTGGTCAGCAACCTTCCTGGTTGTGAGTCACCTACCTAAAAACAACAAAACAACCGACAACACACTTCAGCATGCTCTTATACAGCAGTCAACTGTAAAATGGGTAACCATGTTTCAAGGCAGACTGATAAAGACTGCTGCACCTGTATCATTCACTCTCATAATGGATCCAATAATACTGCAATCTTCAGTATCTGGTGGTTCTGAACAGATAAACAGACTTCGTGGAGAGTAACCCTGAGAGGTGTAGCAGAATTTTTGGTCTCAACTTGCACCAGAATGCAGAAATGCACCTTTTTCTTTTTACTATCTGCTTATTCACAAAGCTGGTAGCCCCTTTGTGACTATTGATATGTTGCCATCTCAAGAATTCAGACAAGCGTCAGAGGTCAAAGCTGAATTGGATTGAACTTTAAGTTCAACTGCAGTCTACATGGTGTGAACTGTGTGCGGAATTCCAGAGTTAGTTTGGGGTACAGCTGGAAATGAACCGCAAGATTCCATCATGTTACAATGTAAAATGTAGCATATGGTTGTTTTTTGTCCATCTATGGTGAGAGGATCCTCAGGTTTAATGTGAATATAATTAGAAGGCGATTTGCATTTCCTTCCTCTCCATCTTCTACTAGCAGAAGGCAGAGGGGTTGTTCGATTGAATACGTTCAACGCATCCTCATGTAGCGGGTTTGTGAGATATAATCCCTGCAGTGTCTAAGGGTAGCAGGACACATGTTGATAAATCCACAGCATCTCAGAAGGGCCTCTCGAGTGCAGAGCCATATTCTAGATTCCAGACGATGCTTGTGATTCCACCACACAAGCCACAGCGTGTTTCAGAAGCGGCTCTCGCTGTGGTGTGTACAGATAGATCCGTGGCTCTGTCCGTGGTGCTGAAGTGGCAGACTGATTTGTAATTGCAAATCCCCAATTCATCTCCATGGCAACAATTGAGGTGTCAAGTCCTGTGTGATAGTCGCAATTACGTAATTGCAGAGATTATAATGAGTATTTGTGTTTTGCGGAGCCCAGTTGGGGAACGATGGCGCACACACTCTCACTGTGTCATCAACCAATCCAAATCTAAGACCCCTCTATGGAGCGCTCCGTGTTCCTCTTAATTACTGACGAGTAAAATCTGTTTTCTAGAGTAGCAATGCTTCACAATAATAATAATGTAAAAACCATTGATAATCAACAGACTAGGGCCTGCTTTTCCTCAGATGAGGATTGTAGCCAACATTAGGTATTTTTTCAGTCACTACAGATATTGAAGGAATCTCGTTTGGATTGTTGCGATTCTCTTTATTGAAAGATGAGTTGGAAGTCAATTGTCTGCCTCCAGCAGACCCCAAACTCTGCTGCTGGGCTCCTCACTAACCCTCGGAGATGAGAACACATTCCAGCCTTTCATGCGTCTCTTTGCAGGTTGCATGTGAGTTCTAGAATTGATTTTAAGATTTTACTGTTAATGTTAAGGCACCACGTGGTCAAGCTTCCAGCTATATTTTATAAATAAATCCCCCATGAGCAGCTTCTTAGATCCTCAGGCAGGCCTCTTCCAGTGCTTCTTAAGACTCACCTTATTACCGAGGGTATTCTTGCTGCGGGCTGCTCAGCTCTGGGACTCACTGTCTGAGCAGGCTAGCCAATCAGCAGCAACTTTCTATATCATTTTCCACATTTATTTGCTTTGAATTTCGCTGCTCCATAATCATTATCCTCATTTGCTTAAAACGTTGCCATGGGTAGAATTTGAACATGTCCTCATTGGTAGACTTGGTAGAAAGACACAAGGGATACTAAAAATAAGGGGCTGAAAGCAACACATGCAGAGTTTCTTCAGGGCTGTCTCATTTTTCTGCATTCAAAAACTAATGCCGTTAGAATTATTTGACATTTGCTATAATCACAAAAAAAGTGCTCCACATAACTGACTTTTAAGTTATCATTGTTTTCATTGAACTTGAACAAATGGAATTCATGTGATCTTCTTTAGTACGTCTCCATCATGTGAGTCTAATACCCAGTCGGTAATTACATTAAGAGGATTGCAAAGAATAGCAAAGTTACCGTTGTCTTTCATCAAGCACAGTGAGGCTGAACTCCTCTCAGTGACGTGTGCAGTGGAATACCTTTGAGTTGATAGTGGAGGATGATTTAACCCTTTGGTTATTGTTGGTGTCAGCTATGTTCCCAGGGAAGTTCTTTGACAAACAAACATTTCACCTATTCAAGAACTTCTTTTCTGTAAATGACAGTAATATCTGTCTGGTAAAGCTATCTGACAACATTACAAATTACTTTTTAAGCTGAAGAAACTTTTATTTTTATTTTTCTATTTTTATAATGTAAGAAACAAAATGCTCCATGGGTTACTAATAATCCTGTAACAACAGAAAATGCTGATTAGCCACTTAGTTTGTTTTGACTAAGATGATATGGAAGCAATCTAAAAGATGTCTAATGTTAATTAAACCAGCAGCAACCAAAATGGAGTCAATGTTTGTTGTTGTTTGATCAAATGATTCAAACTAAATGATGGAAGACAGCTAAATCGTATTCATAAATAAGTATGATTTTAGAGATACAACAAATCTGGCCAACAAACAAAAAGACATGGTGGAACCCAACATGCTCTGGTTTGCTCTGGCTGGTGGGTGGTGCTTAGCTTTTGCTCGACTGTTTATGGCTGCTGGGTGACAAACCTTCTCATTTTATAGCTGAACAAAACACTAAAATATGTTTCTGAAAACATTAGAGGCAGAAACAGAACCGTGAGTCATATTTAATCAGCATTGTCTGGTTTGACTCTTTGATCTGAGAATAGTCATTTAACTCAACACCATGCAATGCTCTGCCTCATCTCCTCCTCTCCATAGAGAATGAATAGGATCAGTCAACTCCACATAAGTCAATGGATTAGGGATATGTCCACCATAAGAAGCATGATTAACCAATATAGCAACAACTACAGAAGATATATTGATATATTTTACATATGTAAATATGTCAAATAAATCGATATTGACCTGTAAGGAATGACCATTGAAGTCTTACTTTAGTTTGCTTTGTCAACCATTTCAAAAGAGTCTCTCACTTCTGCTCTGTGGCTCTGTGTGCTCAGGCATGTCACTTTCTCCGTGTTCCATTGTCTCTTTCCTAAATAAACTCCTGTGTTCACAGGAAACGCGCAGTTTCTGCTCCTTACATGCAAACACGCTCATTGTAGGCTTACTTACTTTTTAGGTTTACTTGGTAAGGTTTAGGCAACAAAAGTACTTGGTTGGGTTTAGGAAAAGATTGAGGTTTGGGTTAAAATAAGTATTTGTGTTACGGAACTCAGGTTAGTAAGGTTGAGAAGTTATGTAACAACCTCCTCTCCCTCCCTGTTTGGACTTTCTATCTTTTTACACTACATCAGTTGGTCTGACCATATAATAATGACGCAGAAGGAGTTGGTAGAAAACGCCCGATGCATCTCATACAGATGTTAAAGCATGCCTCGGTGCGTCAGAATCAAAGCACTGACCAAGCCTCTGTATTGGACGAGTTGGAAGTGATAAGGGGGGGGGGTATTTTTCTGGAGAGGAAGGTCTCAAACCATCAGTGAAAAAACCGTAACCGGATCTCAAGCTAAATTGTTTGGACAAAATGACTGACCTAAGACGTGGCTGCCTTCTCATAGTAGTTAAAAAAAGACATATTTGTAGCAATGAGCCATCATTTACCCATTCCTTCTAATATCTCATTTACAGAAATGTGATGTGTTCTTGTGTTTTTTGTCTCACATCAGCATCCTCAAACTGAAATCATTGTGCATCTTCATGATGTTCACCTTTTAGCAGTTTAGGTCTCAGCCTAATTGTCCCTTAGCTGGCTCAGTGTCATTCTTTCTTTCATTAACTACTCTTTGCATTATTTTCATTACAACGTGATCGCCTCTCCTCAGCCATAAATGTCTTTTCTACCTGGTCAACATCGGCCCTGCTCCGGGCTCAGATAGTCTCTGAACCCTGAGGCGAAACATAGAAAGATATTACTTGCCATGGAATAGACGTCAAAAAAAGTAGAATAATCCCCAGGGCTGCAGAGTCAGAGAGTATGAGGCAGCCAAATTATGCTGACAACTGTGTTGCAGTGAGTCCTCTGTGCGGTGCATATGACACTGATAAATGCCTCTCCGTGGCTGCTCAGGCAGCCTCAGCCACCTTCTCTGAGCGTCACAGAGGTGTTACGGCTGAGGGCGACAGAGCTCTATTACTGCCGCGCTCGGGTTTGAGGCAGATGAGCAACAATGGGTAAACGCGCTCGGATGAAATTAAACCTGGGAGAGTGCAGATATTTTCCTCTTCCGCATTGCTGCGTCTGTAAACAATGAGGCCCTTTTCCAGACGGGCGGACTGTGACTGCGGCTGGTGGAGCGGCTGCAGCAGCAGAGCGCTTCGTTCACAGCTACTCCCCCACCAGTGTGTCACATGTTGTTAGATCTCAGCTCGGCCTCCATTGTTCTTGGCAGTGTTGTTTTTCCAAAGCTGGAAAGGATGCTTGGATGGATGCTTATTGCGTAAGCATCCATCCAAACAAAAAAGGAATAAAAAGAAAACGCTGACCTTGTTTATATGAACCACCATATTTTTTCAAACTGCCTTGGCTGCATATGTCTAAGGAAAGAACACCAATGAGTCATTACTCCAGTAGGTGGTTAGGAAACCGCCGGACTGCTGTTCATGGCTGCATTCATATTGCTCAAGCAGTCGCACGCAACGTCAATGTGTCATTTCCAGTTCATGTGGATGCTTCAATGGGTCCTTCCTTACTCACACGTTTGTCTTTTGGGATCCACTGAAACCTCACAACAGATGTGACTAAATATGTCCAACAGACATTACTGCACCATCTACTGTGGTACAGGGAGAC